TATTAAAAGGCCTACTACGATAAGCGCTATATACCGATAACCTTTAAATAAGGCGATATAGTTATGCTTAGTACGAAGAACCTCCGTATCCGCAAGCACCTATTACCTAATAGCAAAACAAGGCCTAAGCTCGCACTAAGATATATTAGCCTATTCCGTACTCGAGAAGTTAAGGGCTCCTCCGTATAGGCCTATTAGTTGTAGCTTCTACCTTATTATACTATCTATAACACCTTCTACGTATCCCTCCTTAAACTATACTACTAGCGTAAAGGCGATAAAGCGCCTACTAAGTTAGAAGAAGTCTTAGCTAATAGTAAAGAGCTATAGTCTATAGAACGTATTCTAAAGTACTAGACTAGGTAAGGTAAGAAGGAGTACCTACTAAGATAGTAGGGCTATTTACTAGAATAGGACTTATAGGAAGCTAAAGATTCCTTCGAGGATATAACCGAGTTATTAGATAAGTATTAGACTAGCGCGAAGAACAAGAAGAAGGCTAAGGGCCTATAATATCGCCTAGGAATAATACTACCCCCGGGGTGCTATTAGCTAACTAATTAGAGACAAGCAATTATTAGTAATAAAGGATAATAAGACTATACTAGGCGCGCTACGACGCGTTAATTAATTAATCGTATACTCTTTTAAGGACTCTACCTCTTTACTAACGCGCCCTATAGGTCCCTCTCTTATTCCTTTATTCTATCGAGGCCTCGAGGCCTAGGCGATCGGCGAGGACGGCGTCGCGCTTATAACGGCGCGGCCGGCGCGGCTATATTAGTAACGGTATTGCGGAGTATATTGCTAGTTAAGAAAGGAAGGATATAGCCCTATTAGTAACAGTATTGCCGAGTTGTTATTAGTTAAAGAAGGAAATTAGAAGAAGGTAAAGTTAGCGCTAAGACGACTAGCGCTACTATTGTTAATATTACTTACTGTTATCGCTACGCCTATAGACACAACCTTACCTATACTACGAGCCTAAGGCACCTTTAATTAAAACTTTAATTAAAAGCTTTAAGCCTGTTAAAGGTTTAATTAAAACTTTAAGGCTAAGTTAAAACTTTAACTAAGTTAAAAGATTAAGTAACTAATAGACTAACTAAGGGCAAAAACTATAGAGCTAAGCTAGCCGGGGTCGATCTTGCGGATAATAGGTTACTCCTCGATCTTTCCGACCCTTTAAGTAAGGCGAACCTTAACTATTGCACTTATAATAGCCTTTACCTACAGAAACTAGAAGAACTGAGTTTTTTAAAAAGATATAATTAGTTAATACTTGAAGGCTGCCAAACCTAACTAATTTAGGCTAGTAAAACTACGATAGTAAATAATAACCCTCGGAAGCGGACAAACCCTCGGGAGCGGACATTGCTAGGTCTTTTAAGAGTAGACGTAAAGAACTCGGTACGACATTACTTAGAGCGGAGGCAGGGCTGCAATACCTCGTACGTCTACCTATTATAGTAGGGAAGACGCGCTCGTATTATAATTAGTCGAAGGCCTTTAATTCTTATAGATATATATTACTTTATAGTTTATTATATATAGAGATAGCGCAGTTAGAGTTGTATATTGTGCTGTATTAGAGGTAAGGTTTAATATAGTTATATAACTAGGTAGTTAAGTGTTTAATTTAGCGCGGGCTAAGTAGCTTATTAGACTTACTAAGTTAGCGGCAATAGAGGTCGTAGAACATAGGCAGGCTACGAGGGCGCGGCCTTTAGAAGGGAAGCGTATATTAGGGCTAAAGAGGCTACACGTAATTAGCATGTAACTAGGCTAAGTAAAGCTAGGGTCTTAGTACCTTAGGCAGGGCTTGGCGCTTAGTAATAGGCTAACTTGCCTGCCTTCCTCCCTCTCCTCTTAGATCTCTATCGAATACTACCTATACCTACTACTACCCTATCTACCTACTAATATACCCTTCTTACACCGTAGAAGGGTTAAGGAAGTAGGCCGCCTAATAGTACTTATTTACCTACCTTAATAAGCGCTTCTACTAGCCTATAATAGTCGCTATTAACTTCCTTATATTAAGGACAAATTAGACACCTTCGAGAAGCTCTTAAATTAGTAGTAGACTAGTAGTAATCTGCTTCTCGAGAGTCGCTTTATAAGCAAACTAGCGAGGTATTACCTTGTCTATTATAGCCTCTTTTAACTAAGATAGGATAAGCTAATTATTAAGTAGTTCGAGAAGGTCGATAGCCGCTTAGAGTTTAGTCTAGAATGCGTAGTCTATAATAGTATTCTTAGCCTCGTAATCTAGCGTACTAAGATAGTCGCGAACGAGCTCTTAAAGGGCATATTTAGAGCGTAGAAGTAACTTAAATAAGGCGATTATAGTCGGCTACCGAGTCTTATATATACTAATTAGCGAGAAGGTCTTACTATAGACCGCTACCTGCTTCTTCTTTAAGAGCTAATATATCGCCTTCTTCCGCGATAAGTAACTAACAACGTGCTAAGCCTCGTCGTAAAGGCCTTATAACTTAGGGTATTTAAAGAGGTCTCTTATTAATAACGCTCCGCTATATAAGTCGTAGGGCACTATAATAACGTAACTTAGCTCTTCGTTATCTTCTAATAGACGTATTATCTTTAGGTTTATAGTATACGTATTAAATGCGATTAAGCTAATCTTCGAGAGGTCGCCGCCGGTAAGCTATTAGTACTTTACCTTCGTCTAACGCGCGCCTTCTTTACTAGATTTATCGACTGTCTCTATCTAGCGCGTCTCGAGGGTATAGCAACTAGTAGAGTCGATAAGCGATAATATTGTAACGCCTATTCTATTACTATCGGAGGTGCTATTAATTTATAAGTTCAGCTCGTTACAATATACGACCTTTGCTATTACCTTCTCTTCTATCTTCTCGAAGTGCCGTAGTAATAGAATGCGTCGAATTCGGGCCTCGTAAGATAGCTCGAATAAAGGGTAAAGGGCGGCGAATAGAGCCTTTACTACTAACTTCTCGAAGAAGGTAAACGGCTCGTTCTCTTTAAAACAGATAGTACTATATAGCTCCTCGAGATAATCGTACTAAGCGTTAGTTAACGCGACCTATAGCAATTTTATCTACTCCGGCGACGATAGCACCTTACCTGTTTTTATCGCTTCTAACCGCTTCTTATACTCGTCGATATAGTCCTTATTTCGAGCTAGATCCTTTACCGCGTCGTAGCTATAGAAGCGATAAGAAACACGCCGCTTTGCTCGGTAGTCGTTATACTACTTAAAAAAGCGATAAATAAGGTTATTAGGCTTAGCTATTTGAAATACGTAATAAGAGGCGACGATAAGGATAACTAAGCGATAAGAGGTGCTATTTAGATAGTAATAACAGCGACGACGAGGTTTAAGGTAGAGGAAATATAACTATATAGTAGAAAGCGCGATTTCGACGCGTTTTAGTAGAAAACTACATACTATACCATATGTGTATTAACCTAGGACCGACTCATAAAAAACACTATACAAATAACCCACAATGGGTCGCTCGCGGTAACGCGCGTGCGATTGACCATAAATCGCACACAAAGTCGACCCCTGCAAAACTGGTCCTTCTTGTCACCGCGAATAGAGAAGCCAATGCACATTCCCGCAACTCTGCCCGATAAGGCTATCCAAAATTGCACATTGTGCTACACTGCCTCTCGATATCGAGTCTTGTCGGTATGTTCCGTGGAAGAGGAATGCTGATACTGTACTACCCAGGTAGGGCTGGTGTAACGGCTCTGCTGGTTGACGTAGCCAAAAGAGAATTGTTCGCCCTCTGATGCTAATAAGGCGGCACGAGTAGGAAATCTGGAGCGAGGCCGTCGTCGTGCATGCACCCTACAACCTATCGAGCTTCTCCGACCTTGCTGCCAAGTTTGGTGTCTTCCTCTGAGAATAACAGCGTGAGGCTTGCATCAGTCAGGACTCGAATTGCGATCCTTAGATGATATGGTTTGACCGAGAGACTCGTGGCATCTCCTGTCCTGCCGGACCATGATCAGCGTCAAATTCCTCCCATCAACCAGGTTTGAAGACTGGTGTGTTCAGAATTTGAAACTAGCACTCACGAAAACCATGGAGCATGTCGGCAAGTTGCATACTGTGCTATACCGGAGGAGCGGATTCGCCGCGTGGCGTGTGCATGACAGCATGGTCGTGTCTTGTAACGGCAAACCCACAGGAGCGCAAGCATCCTAACAATGGTGAGTGAGTATCGGATGGCCGCTAAAAAAAATATAGATTCTTGACGAGATTGGGACGCTCACCGCCTCGTTGGCCTCCTATGAGTCCTTCTATTCCATCCTAAGTTGACACGAGTGGCAGTGCAGAATTCGCAGAAACGAACCAGACGAGATTCAGTGCTGACATGATTAGTATGAATCATGGCATGCAGTTGCCCATGTTTCTCCTACCCAGGCGCCATGTGCACAACGACTCGAAACCTTCCGCATAGTGATCCTCCTCCAGTTTGGCATAGACGAGCGAATGGTGCGACATGAGAAACGCCAAATGAGATTTTGATGCTTCTGGCAGCCGAACGTATTGCCTCGTCAAGCCTCGAATCCTGAATCTGATGCGATGTCTATGCTACATGCTGGCATAACATAGATATGGAAAGCTTAAACGACGCTCCCCTTAACCCCAGCAGACGAGACGCTGATGACTTTTGCCATCATTGTCCTCGCTGGTCCCATCGATCTGCCTACATAATTATTCTGACTGATGCCGCTTTTCGGTGTCTGCGTTCGGCCTTGCTTGACTTAGCACACGTTCATTTCTTTCTCCGTTTCTCTTCTATGCAAGAGATCTCGCAGGGTCTTTGTTCAAGTCTGCGTGTTTGCATTCTCTTTTGCCAGTCGGTCCCTCTGCGACCTACACCCCAGTTATGAGTCTAGAGAGCTATCCTCGGTCGAGTAAGAAAGATGGCGGTGAGAATGCCGAGCCCAAGCTCGACGACAATGAACGGCAGTCGACTCCTCGCTCCAACGACTGGATGCCCGGAAATCCATGGGGCCCCTACGGCTTTGGCTCTTCTCGAGTTTCTTTGGCACCCTCAACGAAATCCCGAGGCTCAACATTCATTGAAGAAATTCGTCACGAGGTACTCGTCAACCACCTCTTCCAGCAGCAATGTATGGCGCGGTGGATTGGAGATGGTGCTGGTGAGCGTGAGGGTGTGCTTGTTCGAAAGTGCAAGGGACACTATCTCACATGTCCGGCCAGCCTTGTCCACTCGGCTTTGGCTGATGGATGCGTTGCATTGAACGTCCCATGTGCCATGACTGTCAACAGCAGGGTGATCAAGACCTTCCTTGCATGGTCCGATGCTGTCGACGTGCCTCTGAAGAATGGACTGCGGGTACAGGTCAGTCCCAAGGATGATTTCCTTTCACACCATTTGCTGACTAGGCTCGATCGCGGACGTAGGTCATACCCACTTTGGAAGATCTTCCACGGGCGAGAAAACTTCAATTCGCAGCGTTCGTTGCTCAAGACGGATTGCTTGTTGTCTGGGACGATGGTGAGTAAGGTCATCGATCACAAGAATTCCCGAATTAACCGACGCAGATGCTGCAAACCTCATCCCCCGCGCTCAGTCGATCGAAAGTGAGCTAATTGATGTGGTTTGGAATACCGGAGATTCCAGTGACGAGGACGAAGACGCGTCCAGCGGCAATGAAAAGAAAGTTCCTCGCGTCACGGCCCAGAGTGTTGATGAAGAAAGCGGCGAGGCCGCTCGTCTGGAGCGGCCTACGAATCTCATGAACACTGTGCTTGTCTCAATTACTCTATTCCTCATCACAATTATGCTGGGCGCCGGCTTCCGACAGATTGCGATTGAGTTGATGGTCGACAAGTCGTATCTGCGGCTGGCTTTCCTCGCCCTGACTCCGGTTCAAGTCTTCTTCACATTATTCTTTGCACAGGTGATTGTTGGATGCATTGCACAAGTGCTCGGACCTATTCGACAGATGACGGAGAACAGTCGCTTCTACTCCGCAATGCTTCCAATGAGGCTTACACATCGGCCCCTACCGCACGTCACGATTCAGTGCCCAGGTATTTCCTCCGTCCTTCTCTATTTCGTGTTCTAGCTGATTCAGCGCAGTGTACAAAGAAGGCCTGGGATCTGTCATTGCGCCGACTGTGAAATCCATCAAAGCGGCCATCTCAACGTACGAAATGCAAGGTGGGAGCGCCAACATCTTCGTCAACGACGATGGACTCCAAATCCTTGATGAACAGGAGCGTCAGGATCGCATTGATTTTTATGCCGACCATTGCATCGGCTTCACGGCTCGTCCAAAGCATGGTTCTGAAGGATTCGTGCGCAAAGGAAAATTCAAAAAGGCCTCCAATATGAACTTCGGCTTAATGCTCTCCAACAATGTGGAAGCGAAGCTAGCAAAAGTCCAGCGTGATTCGAACTGGACCCAAAACGACGAGGCCGTCGAATATGAGAGATGTCTGCGAGAAGTGCTTGAAGAGCATGGACGAGCTTGGGCTGACGGCAATATCCGTCTCGGCGACTACATTCTGATCATCGACTCGGACACGCGGGTTCCCGTCGATTGTCTCCTCGATGCTGTCAGTGAAATGGAGCAGTCTCCGGACGTCGCCATCATGCAATTTGCTTCGGGCGTGATGCAAGTGGTTCATACCTTTTTCGAGAACGGCATCACCTTTTTCACGAACTTGATCTATACGGCGATCAAGTACACCGTTAGTAACGGTGATGTAGCGCCCTTCGTTGGCCACAATGCAATTCTCCGTTGGTCGGCAATCCAGGAAATCGGCTACTTCGACGAGGATGGCTACGAAAAATTCTGGTCCGAAAGTCATGTGTCCGAGGATTTCGAGATGTCACTCAAGCTTCAGTGCAATGGCTACATTATTCGCCTTGCTGCATGGGCGGGGGAAGGTTTCAAAGAAGGCGTTTCTTTGACTGTGTACGATGAGCTTGCCAGATGGGAAAAGTATGCATATGGTTGCAACGAGTTGCTCTTCGAGCCAATTCGAACCTGGCTTTGGCGAGGGTAAGGAGTATCGACATGGGCGAAACAGAATCTCTGCTAATTTGTGAGTCTTCAGACCTTTCACGCCGCTCTTTCGCAAATTTCTGTTCTCCAACATCCGCATGACCTCGAAAATCACTATCATTTCGTATATCGGCACCTACTACGCAATCGGAGCCGCATGGATTTTGACGGTGGCCAATTACTTCGCCATCGGATGGTTCAACGGGTATCTCGATAAATACTACATCGACTCCTGGAAAGTCTGGTTCTCGATCGTCATTGTTTTCAACGGTCTCGGCAACTTCGCGCTGGCAACGATGCGGTACAGGATTGGCGAGCGATCGTGGATAGGCTCCCTACTCGAGAACGTCAAGTGGACTTTCATGCTCGCAATTTTTCTCGGAGGTCTGTCGCTGCATGTCAGCCAGGCTCTACTCAGTCACATGTTTGAGATCAACATGACTTGGGTATGTTGACATTGACAATGCAAGCCTTCCACTGTTTGGCCTTCCACTGACATATCTCTCCAGGGCGCAACTTCCAAGGAGGCTGAGTTCTCCAATTTCTTCATCGAAGTGCCCAAGGTGCTCAACAAATTCAAATACAGCATGGGCTTCGCATTACTCGGAATCGTCACCATGATAGTACTCGCCGTGGGCAGCTTCATTCCCTACAGTTGGCGGATTCAAGACTTTATCGCCATTCTTCCGATGTCCACGGTCTGCGTCAGCCATTTCTTGCTGCCGATCGCGCTCAATCCGGCGCTGATGACGTTCACTTTTTAGTGCGTGGTTCCAGGGCGGAGCGTGGAGGGTAGAAGATGGAAGATAGATGGAAGGCAGATATCCATCACGATCAAGTATTATCGAGAGCCATTGTATGCCCGCTGTCAGTGTTGCAGCAGAAGAGCCTGCTGCGAGATGCACGGTGGCGTAGACTCGTGCCGAGCAGCTTTACTTATCCGGGATGCGGAAGGTGCGGTGCATGTGGCGAGATGTCAGGTGTTGGATGGTTTGCTGTCAAGATGGGATTGTTGAGGTTTGGAATGGAAAGGTTGTCACGACACGGCGATGTTTTCATCGGCGAGTAGTTTGTACTATGTAGGCAGCGACTGCCCTGCCCCGCCCCGCCCCGCCCCTGTTTCACGACTCTCGTCAACCTTTGATCGGCCAATGGAACGGGGCGCATCAGGCTCCGGAAAGTGTTGGGGAGCTCTACATACACGGCGTGAAGCAAGTGCATCTGTACTGTAGTAGGTACCAATAATGAATCATGAAGGGGCGGCAGTGGCGTCGTGTCGCGGCTCAATTGAGTTACGGGAAGTTTTGGTTGACAGACAGGGTGGCGAAACATCCCTGCATGAGCTTTTACTGTAGCAGGAGCTCTTCACAGCTTGATGGACAGGAGATAATTGAACGAGAATCATCAACAACTTACTTACAGGCCATTGAAATATACACATAGGGTGTGGTTGGTGAAGGAAGCATCGTCATCAACACTCGCGGTGATTATTCGGCCTTGGCGCCTTGCCGCATCTTCCTGCACCCGCTCATTTTTTGTGCTCATTCGTCTTCAGATCATCAGGGGAAAGGTGCAGTGCAAAAGTTGCACAGTGCGCACAGCCCGCCGTGGACTTTTCGTGCTTGTGAAAAGACCCCTCGTTTCGCTGCTCCCGACGTGGAACGCTCGTCGTATTCTTACTCCCGCCAGTCTTTTCCACCCGCCTGCACGGCTTCGTTTGTTCCTGCACCGAGAACTACCCACACCGTACACGCTGGCTTCTATTATCATTTTAGCTACAGTATAGAGAGCACGGCGCCTCGTGCATTCTTGCTTAATCCCATTCCAGCTCACTCGTTTGCTGCTCGCTACACAGTTCTTCGACCAATATGACTACTCCGACGGACGAACGACCAGAGCCGACATATGCCCAACCACCACATCCCGTGCATCAGAGCCAAAGCCAGCCTCGGACGAGTCAGGACAGACGCCCTTCGTTACCTTCTTACAACATCCATCGCGACGCATCTCGTCAATCGCTCGATCGCAATCGCACCGGCAGCTCACAAGATGGTACTGTGGTGGGCGATGGCGACGAACGGGAGAACCGTGCACATCAAGGGAGGTCCGACGATAGAAACTCCTCAATCCAGCCCGAGCTCTTGCCTGCAGGAGGACGTCCGCGATCTGCCAGCCATTTGACTCTGGAAACACAGTATGAACCCGGCGACCCTCTCCGCAGCATGCAGTCTCCTTCCATTACGCGTGAGCAAGCTCATAGACTGGACGATGATCTCGAACTGTTGAAAGTAGAGCGACAAATATCACGGAACGATGAGGAGCTTTCCCGACTAAAAAGCGCCGGCGAGACCTATCGTTCGAGGTCACGCAGACGCGAAGAAATGGTCGATGATTTCGATGTCGCCACAAACCCCGTACACGAGAAGACCAAGATCTACAAGCCCATCGAACATCCCGCAACCGGAATTGCCAAGTTTCTGAAGAAGGTTCATCAATCGAATGTCCTTGTACGCTGGGCTACTTACATCGCACCGCTGACTCTCATTTTGCTCATACCCCTCTTGTTGGGATTCTTCGTCTTTCCGAAAGCTACCGTCGGAGGTGTCTATCTTGCTTGGTTCATGATCTGGTTGGAAATCGTCTGGCTGACTCTGTGGGCCGGTCGAATTCTCGCAAAGTGTCTGCCATGGCCCATTGGTGCTCTATCCAGCTTCTTCACCAACAACAGCAAGAAATGGCGCGATATGGGCAAGCAGCTCGAGTTGCCGGCAACGATCTTTTTCTGGTGGCTGGCCATAGAGGTTTCCTTCTTGCCGCTCATGATACATCGCCAAAAGCCACCACAGACAGGAACCCAGCCATGGATGAACACCATGAACAAAGTCTTGGTGTCCTTTTTCGTCGGCGCGATCCTCAATTTCGTGGAAAAGATCATCATCCAATTGATAGCGATCAGCTTCCACTTGAGAACGTACGCCGACCGGATTGAAATCAACAAATTCCAGATCGGCAGCCTGACGAAACTCTACACCTTCTCGAAGCAGAAGATTGCCATGGACGATGCAGAGTTCGAGATCAAGGAAGCAGAGCCGGGTAGTGGTGCACGAACACCGGGCGTGTTTGTCGCTGAAGCTGCCAAAACTGCCAAGCAGGGCCTAAGCAAGTTCGGAGATGTTGCTGGTAAAGTTGCTGGAGACTTTACAGGCAAACAAGTAGTCAAAAGCACGCACCCTCAGCAAGTCGTGCTGACGCTCTTGAGCACTACTGGAGGCTCGCAGGTTCTGGCCAGGCGTCTATACCGCACTTTCGCACGAGAAGACACGGAGACTGTGGTCTCAGACGATCTACGCCCAGCGTTCGAAAACGACGAGGAAGCCAACAGCGCGTTCACCATGTTCGATAAGGACATGAATGGCGACATCAGCATGGAAGAACTGGAGGCAGTCTGCGTCGAAATCGGACGAGAACGAAAGAGTATCACTGCTTCGCTCAAAGACTTGGATAGTGTCGTGGGCAAGCTTGACGATGTCTTCATGTTCATCGTTTTCGTCATTGTCGTGCTGGTCTTTATCTCGCTGATCTCGACCTCTGCTGCCGGAGTCCTCACGTCTGCTGGAAGCGCAGTCTTGGCCCTTTCGTGGTTATTCAGTGCAACCGCACAGGAGTTCTTGCAATCTGTCATTTTTGTCTTTGTCAAACATCCTTTCGATGTTGGGGATCGTGTTGGCATTTACGGCAACACCGGATCTCTGCTCCGTGGAGACGACTATTTCGTCAAGGAGATCTCGCTACTGTACACCGAGTTCAAGAAGATGGAAGGTCACATTGTCCAAGCCCCCAACAGCTATCTTAACACGTTGTTCATCCTCAATCAGCGTCGATCCGGTGGACTCGCCGAAGCGGTGTCTATCACTATCAAGTTTGGAACGACGCTTGAGCAGATTGATGGCCTGCGCACGAAGCTTCTCGAGTTTGTCAAGTCCGAGAAGCGTGAGTACCAGGGCAACATCCTAACTGAGCTTCGCGATATCGTTGAGGTTCATTCAATGAACTTGAATGTGGTATTCTTCTACAAATCGAATTGGCAAAACGAAGGTCTTCGTCTTGCACGACGCAACAAGTTCATCTGCGCAATGATGGTGACCATGCAGGAACTAGGCATTGAAGGACCATACATGCGCTTCCCTGGTATGCGCGAGACGTTCCCGATGTACCTATCGAATGTGCCGCATCAGGCTACTGCAGGTGCCGGCCACGGCGGTCATCCAGATAACCCGCACGGAATTGGACCCGAAGACAACACGGGCAATCAGGACCCGCCGTTTGTTTCACCACCAAATGAGAATGATCATCCTGGCTCGCAAGGTCCACAGTCGCGTCTACGAAGTGGCAGCATTATGAAAGGCAGCAGGGCACGGGCAGAATCACTTGCGCAAATGAACAAGCGAGTGGACTTTAGCCTGGGTATGAAAAGCTACGCAGCCATGGGCGACATGGCCGGTGATGTATACGAGGATCGCAATCGCGAAATGCCACGCATGCAAATTGTTGAAGCCTCTCAAGAGCGTGAGCGTTCTCGAGCTTCCCAGGAGCGTGCTCGCGCTAGCGCTGAGAGTGCTCGTACATCTGGCCGAGACAATTTCATTCCGGGAGGTCTCGCCAGACGTTCAACGGACAGTCGATGGAGGAGTAGTAACTCTGTGCATCGAAATCGCTTCTTTGGTCGGAAGGGTGGTGATGGCGCAGACGACTTGGCAGAGAAGGGAATTTCCATGGGCGATATCCCAGAAGAGGGCAAACAGCATACGCCTAACGCTGGCCAACGCCTTGATGCTCGCACAGGAATGGTTTCTCCTGCTGCCTGGCGATTAAACACGAATGAAAGCAACATCCATCCTCCAGACACCAATGCCCCACAGCTTCCCAGGCAGGTATCAGGGACCGGTGATCTAGGTGAGGTGCCGCATGTACCTGAGGGACATGGATTCATCCACAGGAGCCAGACAGAAGATTTGGGAGCACAACGTGATCGACGTTATTAGGTCTCACATAGTGCATGTGAAGACAGTAGAAATAGATTATGAGAGACGAAGCGACGCATCGACAGATTGGAAATCAGTACACACACGTGGCCACGGGGCATTCTTTTTGGGTTGAGGCATAGCGAGGTAGAGAAATGCAAGACTCGTAAAATGCCAGTGAGGTCTTCTATCAGTGTTATAATATCTGCATAGCAGCGTTCACATCTTGTGTTGATATCGGTCGGCGGTGGTCGGTTGGTTGGTTGGTATGTCATTTGAAGCCTATTTAAAGACCTTTGATCTACGCGGCTTATGGATACGTGGCCTAATGCCCCCGTATTGGCTACAATTTGACCCGCTCCGTGCTAATCCTTCGCCTTACTGTCGTTATAATTTTATAGACATTCCCGTTAACATTTAATTAGTACGCCTTTTAATGTCCCTTAGATTAATGTATGCCTTTTAACGAATCTTAATAAATAGGCTAATGCCTTCTTATATAACTAGGGGGTTGCTCGCTCGGTTAGGGATATAGTATATATATATTAGCTTGCTAGCAATAGGATTGAGCTACCTAGTTGCCGGCGTACTATAGATAAATATCTGTTCTACTACTACCTAAAGCGATAGGTATACTACCTACCCTAATTAGTAGTTTAAATACAGAGTCTAAGGGTAGTAGTAGTATTATAGGGCGGCTCGGTTTCGATAAGCCGTACGCCCGGTAGTAATAGGCTTTAAAGAGGTTAGTATTAATGTCCGGGCTGTTCTAGTTAATAGCCGCTCGATAGTAGTTTTATTAGTATATCTGCTAGTCTACTAAGCGCTCGGTCGAGTAAATAAAACGCTCGCGTAGCATTAATTTACGCTAATAGGGGTTCGCGCGGCATTTAACTATCGTTGCGGTAAATACGTAGTTGCCCTTAGGTGCTCGCTAGGTTCGTTAGTATATAGTACGTATTAGGAGGCGAGTGCGACGCTATTAGGGGATCGACTTAATAAACTAGTCCGCCTAGGATTTATATCCTTCTCCTACCGTCTATAAGCCCTTCCGCGGCCTATAATAGTAGGTAGTCCCTCTAGTAGCTTCGTCGTGCTTAATCGCTTAGTTACGACCCTTCGTCCCTTTTTTATAGTATATTTTAGCTAGGATTAGCGGTAGCTTAACGGTCTAGGCGGATGTCTATCGTATAGCCGCTTTCGCGGTATTAAATTAGAGCGGTAGCACGCTCTTTGTATATAAATACTATATACTGCTTAACTATAACCCGGTAATACTATATAATTGCTTATATAGTAGCCTCTGCGTATCGCTGTTTTACCCGAGCCTAGCGGGCCTGTTTCGCTGCTTTCTTCGCGGCTTTAGCTTCCTTCTTAGAATTTAATACCGCTTCTTGCTTTTGAATTAGGTCGCTATACTTAGATTCTACAAGCTCCGGATCGATTGCCCTAAACTGCTATAAGACTTTCGCCTTTAGTAGTAGTAGGGCTACCTACTATACTATCGCTAGGTCGCTAAGAAGAAGGTTAATATTAGTAATTCGTTTACCGAGGGCTACCTATATATTGTCTCTATCTTTAGTTAGTCTTAGGCATTCGAGTAGAATATAGGCAGGCGTCTATCGTTAAGGGTCGTATCCTTCTTTATTAATATATAGGCCGTAGAAGGGGCTGCCGACTGCTCCGATACCGTAGAGGTATTAGTTAAGCGCTATCTTTCCGGTACGCATTTAAGTAATAATACTTCTAATCGGCCGGCTAGCCTACTTATACCTTTAAAGGACGTCCTTTATAATATATAGCTATATGCGGTAGACGCTTCGGCTAGTATCCCTATCCGCCTATCGTAGCTACTACTCGTCCTTTAGAAAGGCATTAATTTAGCCCCTCGCCTACTTCTAGTCGTAGATTAGGGATAAGTAGAATAGTCGTACTCTGTCCGCCGCTTCGGTAGCTAGTTTATCTGCTAATTTATTGCCTAGTATACCGGAGTAGCCTAGTATCTATTAAATTGCTATAGGGTACGGTATATATAGGCGAAGCTCGTAAAATTGCTTAATAGCGTCCTAGGCAGTATTAGCGCTAGTGTTACTAATCCTTTATGTAAGCCCTCGGTTGTCGGTATAGATATAGACCGGTTCTACTAGGCCGTAGTAGATTATTAATTAAAGGGCTAGTAAGAGTCTATATGCTTTAGCGTAAAAGGATAATAAGAATGCCGCTATACCTAGCGGTCTAGATTTAAAGACCCGGCCGTCGAGTAATACCGCTAAGTAGCCTAATTTGCAGGCGCCCTTCTTGTCTTCCTTAAGTAATCCGTCGGTATAAATATAGATGCCTAGGAGCCGCGTAGTCTCGTTATAGCGGCGGATCGCTTCTTCTATATTGTCGGGTACTATAGTTTGCGGGTACTCGCCCTACGGCGTATTAACGAAGACCTATTAGATTTAAAGGGGCAATATACTACCTATAGCGAGGTATACTTATTTATAGTATACGAGAGGTATAATCTACCTACGGTTTGTATCGGTGCTCGCTCTATTAACTAGAGCTGCGCTATATAGTCGGCTTGCTATTCGAATAAAGGTCCGGAGGCATACTAATTAAAGGTATACTTCTACTAGTTCAATATAGAGCTCTATTTATAGTGCCGATTAAGATATCGTTTTAAAGGCTCCCGCTATTTAGTAGGCTGCCGTATATTAAATAGCGTTAATAAGTTTCGTAGCCTTCCTAGCGTCTATAGTACCTAGTCGGTACTAAACTAAGGCTCCGTAGGCAAGGAGTAGTCTAATTACCGCTAGGTATACTCTACGGACTGCTATTAGTAATGCTCCCTATATAGATTTGTTAAGCACCGCGATAACATTAGTCTTCTTTGCCGCTTTTGTTTTAATATCCTTTCGATATACCGCGAATGTTAGGCGGGAGTCTAGGGTAACTCCTAGTATCTTTACCGCCTCTAACGGTTAGATTACTATGCCCTAAAATTCGATAGTAAAGGCGTAAGCGCGTGCTATTTAGTATCTTAAACCTAGGGCGTAAAAGTAAATAAGCTAGAATTTAGCTAGTACGAAGATTATAGCGTACTACGTTAACTACTTCTCGTATATCGTAACTAGTTGTTTTATTGTCCGCTCGATAGCCTCTACGGCAGGTCTAGTTACTAGTATTATTACGTCGTCGATCTAGGCTATTAACGTGTTACTCTCTATTCCGTCTATATACTCGACTAGGTCGGTATTAAAGATTACAAAGAGCGGCGGTAAGAGAGGTAAGCCCTACGGGATGCCGACTGTAACTTCCGCTTCCTAGGCGGTAATATTAGGTAGGCGGAGTCGTATTCTACGGCTAGTAAGAAAGCTTTGTATCTATTTAGCTAACTCTCCGCCGAGTCGTCTATAGCGTATATTATAAAGTAACCGTTAATAGGAAACGTAGTTAAATACGCCTAATATGTCGAGAGCGAGTACTAAGGCATAACCGCCTTATTACTAGGTATCTGCTACCGGTTCGATTAGGGAGTAGAGTGCCTCGTCGGTAGTATAGCCCTTTCTACTACCGAAGTGTCCTATCGGTAGGATGCCCTAAGTTTTAAAGGCCTAGTGCATTCTTTCGGCAATAATGCTTTCTAGGCATTTGCCTATCGTATTAAGTAAGGCAATCGGCCGGTATCCCTTTAGCGTTATCGGATCTTTGCCTAGCTTCTAAAGGGCGACCGTCGTAGATGTTCTAAAGGCCTATAGGTAGTAACCGAGCTTAAGGGAGGCGTTAAAAAGCGCCGTAATATACGCGTAGAATAGTGTTAGGCCTAATAGTTCCTTGTTACTTTATTAGCGGGCGCTCGCCGTAGATATAGTAGTGTCCTCTAAGTAGTCGCTACTACTCGGTATATTGCCTTCGCTTTCGGAGTCTAAGTCGGTACCGGAGCCTAATTCTAATAGTTCCTCTTCGAATAGCGGTAGGTGCATTAGTGCCCTCTTAATAATCTCCGCCGGGATGCCGTCTAGTCCTAGGGCCTTCCTAGTAGCTATCTTCTTTACCGCTAGTGCTACTTCGTAGAGCGTAATCGGTAGGTAGGGGATAGGTTCGGGGTAGTTAAAGTCGGGTATAATATTAGTTAAATCGGCCGCCCGTTATACTAGAAAGAAAGCCGATTCTAGTAGCTTTGCCTTGTCGTAGCTAGAGGTGATTAACTGTCTATTATATTGTATTGTTAGGAAGTGTAAGGTCTAAGGGCACCCTTAGTTAGACTTCTATTTAATTACCTTCTAAAGTCGAGGGAGATTGTTGTCGTAGGCTGCTATATCCTGCCTAAATTAGTCTCTTTTCTAAATACGGAGTTGTCGCTTGTATTTACCGCATAGTTCTAAGTATCTTTTATATTCGGGGCCTTCGGTAATCTAACGGCGTCGGAGGTGCCGCTTAAGCTATCGGGTCTCCTAACGTAGTACCGTAAATTCGGAGGTCTAGCCGGTTCTCGTTCTACTTTCGGCGTACCTCGCCGTAGGGACTGCCTCTTTAATTGCCTAATAGAGTATTGCTTAGAGTCTAATAATACATTTATTAAGGCGTTCTAGTAAGTCTAGCTCGTCTACGCTTAGAACTTGTAGCCGTCGTAGGCAGGCGGAGAGTACGTAAATGTCGGTTTGTTTCTACTTCCTTTGTTGCTCTTCCTACGGTTATAGTAGTAGGTAGGCGAAGATAAACGTCGATTTAACTAGCAGGTAGTCGGAGTCCTAGTCGTGCTCTATACTAATTAAAAGGTTTCGGTAGGTAATAGCCGGTAAATAAAAGACGAGGTCTAATGTTAATATGCTACTATCTCTCGGGTCGATTCTAGTCGTTTGCCCGCTAGGGACTACCTATGCAAGGTAATAGTCCTAAGCTATTTAATTAAGCTGTCGGCCTCTTGCGTTGTTCGGTTTGTTAGGCATCTAGTTTTAGTAGTATATATTAAAATCGCCTACGAGGATTGTGTATAGCGTAATATGTCCTACGAGGTATTAAATAACCGTAGAGTCGTTATCGATCGGTAGTTAATAGGCATTAATTATAGTAAGCGTTTGTTGCCCTAATTAGACAGTGATTTTGTATACGTATTCCTCGGTTAGGTAAGTTATCTATTTACTTGTAGCCTATCGTTTTGTAACGAATATAGCAACTCTCGCGTCCG